CTCCAGTAACGTAATATACATGCTACATTGCAACATCTGCGGACAAGAATATATCGGCCAAACAGACATGCCATTTCGGCTGCGGTTCAATAATCACCGGTACCACGCCACTTCACTGCCGAAGCTACCTTTATCTAGACATCTGCGCCTGCCAAACCACAGTTTTAAAAATATTAGCGTAACTCTTTTGCAGTCCGGTTTTTCAAACAGACGCGAGCGCGAACAGCGTGAGGCATATTTTATTTTCAAATTTCGTACATTAGTAGCCGGTATCAATGAGGACCCCGGAAAACTCAACTGCCTCCGAGAAGTAAGCCAGGAGAAAATTGGTGACAAAGATTGATAGCTGGAGACCATGCTTTTTTCTGACTGACTCTTACGTGTACACTGTCCTCTTCTTCCTCTTCTTCTTCTTTTTTTTTTTTTTCACATGCACATACAAAGTGTTTACGTTCGCCTACCACTTCATGACCGTTGAAGGGAAACGGACGAAGATTAAACGTAAATAGCCGACCGACCCATTAACGAGAAACCTTTCCTTTACACACACCGCCCGCCGAACGACCAAACGACCAATTACGGGGAAACCCCTTTCTTTAGGCACGCCGTCCCGGACCCTCCCGGCACCGCGGCGACAATCTTGGGTGGCCCGACACACGCCAAGAACTGAACAGCACGTGATATGAACCGTAGGTGGATGTAGACGGACAGTTGGCTTCGTTTTCAGTGTTGACAGTGGTTCTTCCTGTTTTTTACTTTTTTTACTTTCTTTTCTTTCTTTTTTCGTCTTTTTTCTCTCTTTTTTTTTTCCTTCTTCCAGTTCCCTCTCACTCTCGCAAACGTCTTTTGAGGCGAGAGGGACGCGGCAGCAAGGAAGTTCATGTCAGTATAACTCATCCCCTGATGAAGGGAGGTCCCCTCCCGAAACTGTTGGGAAATAAATATATTTATCCTTGTTGACAACGCTCCGTTGTGCCATATCCCATATATATATATATATATATATATATATATATATATATATATATATATATATATATATATATATTTCTTGAAAGTCTTCCTGGGTTCGGTCGAGTTATAAGTCATCAGATGAAGCGGATGAGCAAACGAAAAACTATGCTTTATTGCCAGCGTTATGGCCGGGGACCGGCCTTCATTAGGGCATACATCCTCATAATGTATACATAATGTACGCCCTGACGAAGGCCGGTCCCGGCCGTAACGCTCGTAATAAAGTATTGTTTTTCGTATATATATAGGAAGAGAAGAAACACAACTTTGCGGTTGTCTTAATTTTATTACCAACGGTTTCTATCGGTGAACCGGTCTTCGTCAGGGTTTGCGAACATATACATATATATATATATAACATCAAAGCTTGAAGCACAGCAACTCAAGACTAGAGATGAACTAATATAAAAAAGTGATGTTCTCTGAACCAATAGGGCTCTAGAAACATATTTGCAAGATGTTTCAGCGCGCGATCAAAGGAAAAAGGACAGGGTAGACCAACTAGCCCAAGCTTCCACTCTTGTGAGTTACATTTCTAGAAACACGAATGTAAAACCTTATGTTCTGGTTATTGAAGTGCCACAGTGGACCGCAAAGAATTTTAGATGGGCTCGCCGTGCCATTGCTGGGTAATTTGTTTTTTTTTTTTTATTATTACCATAGGGACTATATGGACACTCGACAGGTTTTTGCTTTCGCCGCCATGTTCTGTGTAAGCTACAAGTTGGTAACATTTTCTGCGCTTCCTATGCTCTACCCGCGCGGAAAAATGCATTAGCTGGGGCGGTGAGCGCTGCTCAAGCAGAGATTAAACGAGGCGGCCGATCTCGTCGCTCGGAGGGCGCAGGCGCTAGCATCCCACCGTGTGTTAGAACAGCCGTCGAGTGCTCTAGCTGAGATGAAACACGCCGCCTGTTTTGAACAAGCGTGAAAAAAAAATACGCGGAGGAAGGGGGGGGGGGGGGGGGAACCATTGCTCGAGCAGCAGCAGTGAACTTTGATTCGAAGGGCGTGGTTGCAATAAACTGGCACGAGCGTTCCAGCAAGCATCAGCGCAGGGCTCTTAAACTGTTCTACGTGGTGTGCTCTCAACAGGAACAGATTGTGGGATAAGAACATTTCTCCCAGGCGCGGCCGTACCTTTCTCTTACACCAGTGTTTTATAGAATGTCATGATGTCGGATCCAAAAGAGTTAGCTTCCAGCCTTCGAATTGTCACGGGGTTGTGAGATCGACCAAGGCAGCAGCCGCTGTATTCATGAGTGAATTTTATTTGGGCAAACCTGTGCCCGGAAAGCGAAACGTCAGTCTACAAGCAATACAAGCTGTAGAGTGATAGCAGCAAACCAGAGCATTGGCCATCGATAACCTGCCAAGCAGCAAAGTGCGTCGGCATTTACACATGTTCCATCCAAGATTCCAGCGTTATCGCTAGCAGCTGTGTAAGTTCCGGAACAAATTCTAAGGTACACGTTGTACGCGTAATCTCATTGAAAAGTTTGAAAAATATTTAGATTGTCCGCAGTCATTCGGGCGTGGTTTGCGCAAGGCAGCGCTACACGCGTAACGGTGCGGTAGCAAAAATAGAAAGCAGCGCGTACTGCATTACCATTATAGCTTTACAAATTATTGCTATTGCAGTCACCTCTTCACCGGTGAAACTGATTCTTTTTTTCAGTTTATATGGTTCAGCTAACAGCTTCGTTGTTAAAACATGTATGCATAATGAGGCATGCACACAACCGCCACCTTAACAAGATGCATGCATGAACCTAAATACGACCTGATCGAACTGATTTGATATAGACGCAATCACGTCCTTTGTATAACCTACATGTGTTGCTCGGTCGATGATAAAACTCGACTAAATTGAATGTTGCTCACGCAAATTGCCATTTTGGCACATCTTGGCGTAGCAGGTCAGATTGGCGCAGAATGGTGCAAATGGCGCAGTACTTCCACCCCTGTGTTTGACTCGCCACGAGGGATCTTAGGGAAACAACCTGCGGTTGCCCCCCACCTCGTGGATTTCCCTCAGGAGACGTCCATCCACGATCGCCGCCAAAGCCTTGTCACTTTTTCGTGTGCACCGGCCTGGCCTCTCCGCCACCAGCAGCGCTGCTGGAGCCAGTGTGCTAACTTGAACTCGTGTGAGCCTAGCGCCACCTCCCGCTCGCTGGCTGCGAAACCTAAAGGCGGCCTATCTGCGAGGCATGTGTGCGCCACTAGGTGCGAACGACTTTCCAGGGGGTGATAACACCCCCATATGCTTTACAACAGCATGTTTTGTGACATAAAGCATGCCAGCGCTTGATGACACACTGACATTGTGCTTGACATCACACCTTACGTTGAACATGAAGTGTACGGAGGCGTTACATTGGCATGCTTTAGATAATGCTGGGAGCAACAACATGGCACATTACCCCTTGATGTTCGGCACACTTCACACCTGCACGCTTACTGTTCTAAAGTGGTGGCACAATTTATTTCACAAGGTCGCACTTTATGTTGGACGTAAAGCATACCAAAGCATTACGTTGGCTTGCTTTATGTCACAATGGGGGCACAACATCGCGCATCATACCCTGGTGTCCTGTGCTGTCATTTTTCTCAAATATTTATGTTCAAATTAAAGGGGAAGTCTGCAATTTACCCAAAAAACCCAAAGTTTTAACCTATTGGGCTGTAACTTCGTTAGTTCACTCAATGCTTGCGTGTCCTTGTTGAGTGTGTTTGAATGGAAGCACTAGAGCTAACATAGAATGGATGTAAGAAGCGGTTGAAGAATTGATGTGTGGTCCAGTTTCCGGAATTCTCCCCCCCTCACCCAATCATCCTGTACCCTCTTCTTTTTTTTTTTCTTTAAATTTGTCTGCTGTAGTGCTTGCCCTTCAAACATAGCGTGCCAATTCTCCCAGTTCTCATTTCTTGTTGAACATGCATATCAGGTATTGTTTTTCACCGTACACCCATCAGAGAAGAACAGTGCTGGGAATTTCAGATGGCTCTTCTATTTTTGACCTACCCATGTCTTTTTGTATGCCATGGTTACAGATAAGCAAAGCAGCCGAACTTTCTTGGCAGTAAGTCTGTCCCAGACTTTAAAGCAAGCTCTTTAATCAGCCCCCTTCTTATTTATGAATTGCTGCTTCAGTGTTATGAATTTCCGATTTCTCCAACTAGTGTTTTTATACCGGGGTACTACTGTGCATAATTGCATAAAGTTTCAGACAGCTCTGTGATCATTGCCACTTTAAAGGTGACGTAGTTCATAATGAACATTGCATTGCTGCTGTTCTGGATGCTGTTATGTGTGTGCCAGTTTGCACCTGTGCTGAAAATATTACATGCTTTGCCAATATTTGTCACTTGGGATCGCGACACCTGTTCAGCGATTGCAGTGCCCGGCGTAAGTAAGTTGTGGCATCACCTCTTGCAAGTGCATTTAATTGCGAGAAATTAGTGCATGGCATTTGACTGGCAGCGGCGTTCTGTGCCCAGTCATTTAGCAGCCACATTAGCGGATTCGCGGCTTTGTATTTCTCTGTGCATCAGTGCTAATGATCGAGTGGACCTCTTTGATAAAGGAGCCATGAGAGGATTGCGCAGCCTGTTTGCATTTGTTAATAAACTGCCATGTTACTCTGACTAGACCATCCAATGTAGGCTTATACCGCGATACAGACCACAACAATCGATCACTTACTTGTCAAGCTATGTCCAGGTCAGAATGTTAACCTGATAGCTAACCTCCGCATTACACTGACTGCCAGCCTATGTTTTCGTCTGCAAGCTTTCTGATGGACAGTAGTTTGGCTGGTCTAGTGATAGCCTGCGAATGTGTACTGTTGCTCTACGTGCTCTATGCGTTGGTTGTTCCTCGTAGACCGTCCCCATGCATTGACCATTCGGTTTTTACAAACAGCGTGTGATGAGTGCTCGATTGTGGAATCGCACCAAGTATGCATGTTCCCTTTTTACAGTTGCTGAAGCTTTGGGAGACCAACAACTACTTCCCGGCGTCAATTCTCGAGGTAAGCATTTTAGTAGACTTGCGTGCCACTACATACCTTGAAGTCTGGCCTCTTGCACCGGAGAGGGCAGGATGAGCATGTGCCTCTACTTGTTTCTTGGAAGGCAGAGCAAACGAATGCCCATTTCGTTTTTCATTAAGTTTAGATTATTAGCTACCGAAGTCGTGGGTTGCCCACCACTTATTGTTATGCCGAACATTATTTTGAGTGAGAGCACGGCGGCATCAGTATCTGTTCAGGTATGTGAGCTGAAGAAGGGACACACTGTGCTACGGGAACTTGAGGATAAGCCATCTGACCAGTGAACCCTTCTACATCGGCAAGCTTGTTAGAGTTGAGGCTTTTACTACGAAATGAATGACGAGATAGGCAGTCATTAGAGCATGCCCATTTTCATTGATCTCTACCACTTGAAGCAGACATACAATACATTCAGGGGAAGCTTAGGGAAAGTAATATATACCTTATTCTAATGGGGAGATTTTCCTAATGTGCAAGAGCACTTCTCTGCGATGCATATTTGCCTTACTAGTGGCGGCACGGGTGGTTCTTCGAGTAAAAACGAGGTCTCAGTTCCGCGTGCTTGGGCTTGTATTATCCGTGTCTACATCTAGACGGCCGAGTCAACATTTTCCGTGCTCGAACAAATTGCTTTTAGTAAGAGGCTACCCTCCATCAGTAGTACGAACTGCATAGCAGAGAAGCGCTGTTGCTGATCAGGAAAATCGACCATTGAGCTCTAGTAGTTATATGAAGTGAAGTGAAAGTGGATCCATAAAATTGGGCGCACAGCGTTTAACTTCTGTATTGCATGGCTAGCGAATGAAAGGACACTTGTAACTTTCCATCTAACAGACGCTGCTTTTCCGTTTCTCCGCAGCAACTCAAGAACCCGGCGATTTCACTGGCAAACTACCAAGTAAGTGGACCTAGTTACTTTCTTTTCAGCTCTCTGGTGAACATCGTGTTAACAAGCAGACTTCTACTTTTAACAATCAATGAGGGTTTAGCTGGGGTCAAATACCTGCCCTGAAAAAAAATACTGTGTTCAAGTCAAATACACACCTGCTCTTATTGTATTCGACGCCCCTGGTTGCTGCCATTTCTCTCTCTCTTCAGGCCAGCCTCATAACAGAGCATGCGAACAGTCATCACATCAGTGACAAGTGCCGTGCAGGTCAAGTACTCGCAGCTTCAAAAGCAACACCAGGACTTTGTGGCGCACCTCACAGCGCGGCTACAGGCACTGCAGTTTGGGGTGAGTAACTGGGGGATTTTTTGTGCTCGCTGGTCCCAGACCATCTTCAGCTGGCTTTGTTTTCTTTGTTTGGTTTCTGATGCCATGTGAATTATTGTGGGCAATTAAGTGTTATTAATTAAAGGGTCCCTGCAATGCACTTGGTGGTCAGAAAATGCTGCCAAGGGATAGTTAAAGCATCTGAGAACGTGTGCGAGCCAAACTGCTGCATGCGGCCCGGAATTTACTGTCAATTTTCCGCTAGAAATTGCTTGCTCTTCTCCCAACAAATGATGCCATATACCAAATCACTTGTGACTTACACCCCATGTTCACGGGCTTTGGTGGAATCGAGCACTGTGAGCTGCGTAGTAATCGGTACCGCCGCGGATTGCCGCCATGTGCGCATTATCACAGTGAAGGTAAGTTGCGCACTTGAAGAGAAAAGAAGAAAACATACTCTAGGCCATGACGTGTGCTGACAAAGAAAGGCCACTTGTTCCCCTCTTGTTATCCCCTTTCCTGCGCAGTTCAGTGCACTCGATGACATGCAAGGACAGAGAAAGTGCTTGAAGTGTGCGACAAGTCCTTGCAACTCCGCTCGTGCTTGACAGATTCTAAAAATTTCGGCAGCAGTCTATGCGTGATGCAGTAAGCTCGGTTAAAGGAAGTCATCCGGCGATTTCTCGGAAAAGTGTTCAGGGGTTAATTACTAATGTCTTCTTTGTCGGACAGCGTAGTTGTGGTTCGAGTGAAGTACCTTGTGCAATCTGTGCCTTCAGGTGCTGCCCCCTGCAATGGCAGCACAGGCGGGCCTGACCGGCGTTTCCGCCCTGCCAACGCCTAGCATGCTGCCGCAAGCTGCGCCCGCACCAGCAACGACGACCGGCCAGGCGCTACCCATGTCGACTGGTTTGCCTCCGCCCACGTCGGTCAGTGCCCCGGGCCCTCAAGTGGCGATCGGCACGGCCGCCACTACCGGTTGGGAGCACTGGCAGTGAACAACAGCCTCAGCAAGCTCCTGCTTCAGAACAGGCGAGTGGGACTCCTGGCCTTCTATCATCGTCGTCACTATCATCATTATTCTGCTTTATGTCCTATGCAAGGGCGTGATAGCATCAGGCCCTTGCATAGGACATAAATATCCTGTTTCATTTGCATTCCATACCCAGCAATAGCACTTGATGATTGGTTAGAATCTTCCAAGGTTGAAGACTGGGCGTGTTGGTAGAGCATTACTGTGCACTATATAGCTTGACTGATCGACAGGGACACAACAAAAAAGCATACACACAAAAGCACTGCACTCAACCGTTATAACAAAGTTGCATCTTACACAAAAATAAGTTCGTTAATATCCGAAAACTTGTTTAAATGGTTTGTGCTTAACACTATGTCTATTGCAAGACTTTTTTTTATTTACTTCATTATAACTGTATTTCATTACATCCAGGTTTGTTATATCGAGGTTTGAGTGTATATGTTCTGGGCAACACCCACTGTGCTTGTTACTCATAGGACGCAGCGAAAGCTATGGCGGTAAAGCATGAAAGGCTGATCAGCCCTTAATAGTGAACCACAAATTTATATGCAGGAAACTCGAATGCTTGTTGATAATTGGATGACTGTTGGACTAATTGTGCAGTTGGTTTAACGTGGCAGTTATTCCTTCCACAAGCCCATCTTGTCATACAAGGGAAAAAGCCGGTATCAGCGAAGTCTGAAGGCCCTTAGTCAAAGAAATCCTTTACCCTAGTCAAAATCAAGAAAGAAATTGGCAAGGGCACGTAAGTGCATAGTCAGGATAAGTTATACAACCGTTGGTCTTTAATACCGTATTTACTCGCGTAATCCTCGCACCTCCCACATCGCCCAACAGAAATACGATTTTTTTTCCTCAAGTAATTATCGCACCCCCGAAAATTGCCCCAATAATATCGCCTGCTCGTTCCAGCCATTGATGATGATAGCACGCACTATTTGGCTCCATATCTTAAGCATCAAGCGTACTATTGCACAAAAATTCAATCCAATTCAAGCCAAAGCGGCAAGTGCACGTTGCAGCGTGTTTTGTATGTTGTGTCTGTAATCTTGTCAGGTTATAGGGCGATACAGAAGCTACATGGCTGCTTTCAAGTTGAAAGTGATTGATCATGTACTAAACAACGGCAACAGGGCCACCGGTAGGCCCTTCGGAGTCGACGAGTTTTGTGTTTGCTACTGGTGATGGCACCTGAAAGCCACCAAGATGCGCAGGGCCTGCCGTGTGCATAAGACTGGAATTGATGATAAACTTTATTTCTTAAGAAGGAAACTGCAGACGATTCTGTTAAATAGCCATCAGCCCAATACTGACATCGTACTCTTACCTTTTGAGGGCTCCTGTTGAGTGATGAACGCTACTGCTACGCCCACAAGCTTTGCGTTTGGTATTCTAATTCTCGACTATTTGCTTGCACATTTTGTGTCTCAAGTAAATCTTGCCTTGTGTTGAACCTGTGCTTTTATTTTTGAGGTAAGTTTTAAGTAGTACTTCTCAAAGCTTGCTTTTAGTTGCTGGTGTGAAAATCCCGATTTGCGACCACTTTTTTTTTTTTTGCTCTGTACATTTTCGTGGAAAGTTTTCCCCACATAATTCTCCCACCATCCAACTTTGCATCGGTTTTCGGCCAAAAAAAGTGCGAGGATTATGGGAGTAAATACAATAGTAAGACCAACTTTCAAGTAAAGGCAAGCATGTCAGGGGGGGAGGAGTAGAAAGCTTAGTGGGCAGATGCTAAGAAGTTTGGAGGGATAATGTGGCGGCAGTAATCACAGGGCTGGATAGATTGGTCAAACATAGGAGAGGCACGGGAACGTAAGACAAACCACTATTGCTGACCACACTTGTAATCAGATTCATATTCAGCTCGCTCTGTAGAGTCTTAAAAAATAAAATGATAGGCGGTAACTGAAAAGAATAGAGCACAAAAGAGAGGGAAAGGGGCTGAGCACGTAGTGAGAAAGTCAGGTGAGCACTGGTCATTCGAGAGTAACAGTCTGAATTCCAAGCGAAGGCAAGCGCACGTAGAGGAAGCAGAAAGTTGGGTGGGCAGATGAGAGCAACCCCTTAACCATTTTGCACAAGCGCAGATCCTTGCTCATCTGTGTCCCTACACCGTTTTGGGTGAGTGTGACTCGTCCGCTTCAGATATCTCCCCGTGAGCTTTTTGAATAGGACTTGGTTGTTTCCAAGCTAGTTCATGTGTTGCATCACAGATGGCGGCATTTGCTTGCCAATTACTTTTATTTAACGGCCATGTCACATTTTTGCATGAACTGCGTTCACTGATTAGAAAATGTCCTCCGATGAAGACTCATGCGTTTCTTATGCAGCGTCACAGAACAGAATCCTTTTGTCATCGTATGGCTCTTTGGACACTAATTATTCAGATATTGAAATTTACTTTGATGACTTGATGTGTGATATTCGCCAGTTTCTCTACAATGACATTGTTTTGGGATTTGTGAAAGAAACTATTAGACCATAGGACAATAAACTTCGATATGCTAATTTAACTTAATGTTAGCTTCATTTTTTATTTAGTCGATCAAAACATGCATTTTAGAAGAGAGTTATTCAATATCAAGTTGAAAAAAAGCTGTTGGTGGGAAAATTCGAAAAAAAATAAAACAATTAAGGGGTTAGAACTTTTATGGGAATAAAGTGGCCACAGCAAGCACAGGACTGGATTGATTTGGCAAAGCATGGGAAGGGCCTTTGTACTGCAGTGGGCACTGTCAGGCTGATTGATAATAATGAGATTCTTCGTGGGACCTTGCAGGAAGCCACAAGCCAAGACTCTGCCGTTACTGGATCTGAGGTTGGAGGTGGCGCAGGCGGAGATGGCGACGGTGGAGGTGCCGGCGGTGGTGGTGGCAGCGCCAATGAAGGAGATGAGTCGCAACAGCCGTTGGAAGCGCAAGCGAGCAAGAGTATCCCGGAATCGGACCCTCAACTGGCTCAGGGCCACAGTCCGAACGTGGGTCAGGGTCCAAACTTGGGCCCCGCCTCGATGCCCGACGATGGACTCGGTGGTGGGCATCCTTTGCCGCAGGAACAGCACCCATATGGGCCAATGTCGATGAACATGGATGGCATTCCGCCGCACATGATGCCCGATCAGATGCCATCGAGAGACATGAGGCCAGGTTGGTACCGGCTTTCTCTCGCTCGTTTCACTACAACTGTTGTGTCTGTGGGATATGTTGCTGCTAGACCAGTTCAATGCTTGCTCCTGGATGTGTGTTTCTCTTCCTTGTCTTCGTGCACTTGCGCAAGAACCACTCAGGCGAATTTGTTCAAGCTAGGTCGATTCGCAGTTTTGCTTCCAGCTGGTTACCACAGAACTTCGTGGACTTGCTGAAGTATATTTGGTGTATGAGTGCTGTAAGCAGTAGTACTATCTGGTGCCAGTACGTAAAAGCAACGATAGCATGAAGGGAAAGGTTGGCATTCTGGCTTTGTTTTTTGAAGCAAGAATTTTGGTGTCTGTCTGTGTCCTTTTGTCTGCCAAAACGATATCCAGAATGGTCAAGATCCAACCTCGTCCGCAGCCCCCACCAATATTGCTCAAGTTTCAGGGTGAATGAATAGATGAAAAGTCCTTTATTGAAAAAAAAAAAAAAAAAAGGTGGGGGGGGGGGGGGGGGGGAGGCACAGGACTTTCTAACTACACTACTAGTTCACAGTGTCACGGGTTTTACACTTACTGTATTCACCATCACTGGTACTGAGGCGTATAGGGTCAATACTGTGGTTTGTCGGACCCCCTAAACTACTCTGATCAGGTCGCTCTGACTTCCATATTGGGCAGATAATAACAGCGTGTCCGGGTCCGTAAGGAGGGCTTCACGATAATTTGTGGTTTGCAAAGCTTGTATGGCCATTAGCCCTTTTTCAAATGCGGAACACTGCCACAGTAAGTGGTGAAGGTCTGCACGGCAGCGCAGCTCGCAGTGATTGCACATCACTGTCGCAATATCTGGTTGTCGTCATTTTGCTAAAGAGTACAGTGTGTATGACGAATTTGCGTAGACCTTATTAATGAAGACTTCTTGGGAGCGTGAAAGCGGACATTTGCTGGAAAATAGGACTGGTGGGGTAACCCGCGCAATGCGTTTTTTACTAGCATGATGGACATGCGTACGTAGTGCATTGTGGCTACCGAGGGAGCCATTTGACTTGAGAACTCATACGGGTTAACCCTGAGGGGTGGGGGTAGAGGAAGATTGGTCGACCCACCTGCAGAAGCAGCAGTGGCGTGTGCCGCCGTATTGCCCTCGGGCACACCAATATGCCCCGGCGTCCAAATAATTTCTATTGACCTGTCAGCTTTTTCATGCCTACGAATGATGCTTTGAATAGCAGCAGCTGTAGCATCCTCCGACGTGGGGCGAAATATTTCCGAGTAGGCAGTAGGAGGGGTAGAGAGTCGGATGAAAGCGATTTATCCCTTCTGTAGATCCGTACCGACAGTGTACCACTCCACGTGGGAATGCTCTGCCCCACAGGGCGTTCCTCCCATTCCCAACCCCACCCCTTTTCCTCTTGGGAGTCTGCACTGCTCAGCTTACGCTGGCAGGAACAGCAGTAGCTGGTCCAGCGGGCTCGCAGGGTCGCGCAAGGCAACGGAGCCCTGGACTGAGGGCCTCACCCAAAGAATGCTCAGTGTGCATTTGTTATTAATAAAAGTTTATTCTCTCTCTCTCTCTCCGAGTAGGCAGCGTGCGAGTCGGTAAAGACACGAAGGGGTTTCTGTATAGTGTATGGGAGGCTTGGCAGTCGCTCCCCATAAGGCAAGTAGTTCGACATGCATAGGGGTACCGTTCGGTTGATGGCACCTGCATGCCCCAGTGTACTCGGTGTTCTGCGCGCAGATCCATGCTATACAAGCTTCGCCGTCGGAGAGGGCAGCGTCTGTGTATACGTCTACGGTATCTAAGCTCGCTTCCCTGAGTTGTCGCGTGGCAAGAAACTGACAGGCAGTATTATTGTGACGAGATATGAGGCGATGGAACAGCTGAGAGGCTATTGGAGTTTCCCATGGGGGTAATGACTGATTAGAAGAGGTGCATCATCATGCCGCTGGCAATCCCAGGTCAGAAAGCAACGACCTTGCGACGTGATTTACCAGGCGGATGTGGTGTCGAGTGCGGGCTTCACGAATGACGTCTTGCAGAGGGAGCAAGCCCCCTGCGCCTTCAAGGGCGGATATCTTAGTGTGTTTAGGGGAGCCCTGCGATGGTACGGAGAGCCCGATGAAGGCGTTCCAGATTTTGGATGTCCGTTGGAGAGAATGTGTTATATGGGTGTGCCGTACAAAATCTTTCCAACGGCCTCAGCTCTTGCGAGAGTGCGTCAGGCTTGTTGTCGTGCACCTCAGTATTTGTTGGACAGACGACGTATCATATGTAACGTGGCTGGCCATGCCTGCCGCAGTCACGTACCCACTTTTGTGGGCTGTTACAGCTGGCCATTGGTAAACCTAAAACTGATCAGCGTTGATACTTGTACAATAGTCAATTAGAAAGCATTAATGCACATACCTGAGGCACAATAGCAACACGTCAATATTCTGTGGCGTATCCCTTTATCCTAAAGATGGCATACAGAAGTAATTCTAAGGACCGTAGCGTTTATCACGCTGCACTGGCAATGAAAAGGCAAGTGTTTCCAACGCTATGCTAAGACGAACCAGTGGTGGCACCTACCCGTCGCTTTGCGTTATATACCTTATCGCCTCCGAGATGGGTGCGCACGCCGCGCGCTTGCGATATCAGAGGCCATGTTTCGTTTTCCAAGATAACTGACAGATAGCGCTCATTTATCACGTGCCTCGTTGTGCTCGTTCGCCTCCACTGCACGCATTGGGGCACTCTAACGCAGCGCCTCCAAAATGCCATTCACCTATTTTCTCGTGCAGATCAAATAAACGTTTTGTTCACTCTCTATGCAAGACTATTGTCTTTCAACGACATTTGCAGTGAAAAATGCAGATAAGGGGTAATTTTTCCCCCCCCTTTTTTAGAAATCTCTATTTTATCCTGAACTCATACCCTTGTCACACCGGCATTTGGAAGGCCTTCGAAATGATAATCTACTGGACTCGGTGCTCAAGCTCGAGCAGCTGTACAAAACTTTGCGAAGGTCGTTCAGTCAATTGTCTATCATGTCAACGGAACACTCCACAACTCTTAAGATTTTGATAGCCATTGAGCAATGGAAGCAGGAACGGAGCAAATGTGCCCTCTCATTTATAGCATGTTGAGACTCATACTGGAAAATTTTTAATTAGTATGCAATCAGTATTGGTGAGTGCCATGGATTACAGTGTCACAGTTCCTGGCATGATTGAAGCAGCAGTGTCACAAGTTCCATAAATGTCAGTGTACAAAAATATTGAAAATTTTAGGCACTGAAACACTTTTCAACGTTTGCTTTTTCAGACTTTCTGGCCAAACTGCAGTTCTGAAACGGCGTTAATTGAAGCCCTACCTCTGCTGCGTCTATTATAACATAGGTTTGAACTAGCACTCTTGCGAGTTCATCCACTTGAGTTCGTAGCCAAGTCCGAAAGGAAGCTTTGCAGCAAAGCTAAAGTGGGATAGGTGAGACGTGTATTGAAAATCTGAAGGGGCCATTGTCATGACAATGTCATTATGGATAAGCACCAGAAATACACAGAGACGTGAAGGATGGAGGTGGTAAACACACCAGCATGGCCTAATTGCTGACGACGCTTATGACAAGCACCTTCAGTTAACTGCTTCGTAGGGCTTGTGCCCTACTGCAGTCGTATGTGTACTGCAGGCATATAACAGGTGATATACAAACCATGCTAGCTACGCAGCGGCAGCGTAGCGTGTTTGGGATATGTGTGACACGGTCATAACTAAAATGCATGCTTATTGTGTGTTGCACGTAAATTCTAATCAATGTTGTGAGGTAAAGCAGGGCCAGACGTGACGTGCCTTTCATTCTGTGCGACACAGTTTCATTAATTTTTGCTTGTAAACTGCGGTATGTCTTGGAGCTTGATGGGGCAGAGGACATCAGCGCCGTGTGGTCTCAAAAAGAATTTAGTATAGTTTAAAGTTTGACACATTTGAGAAGGTACATGCAAAGGAGCTGGAAAAAAAAAATTTTGCCAAGAACGTGCCTGATGTTTCAGGCTGGAGGCGGGGGCACTCATGGCGACTGTTGCGAGAGTGACCTTTGCCCATGTCATTCTCTCGTTGACAACCATATGCCATTTCCTTTCACTCACTGTCATCACTGTATCAACATCTTACACTTTGTATTCTCTTTAGCTTCTGTTTGGTTCTTGCATAGCTTGGGAAGCAGTGTAGTCGATGAACGTGCGAATTGCATCAAGATAAATTCTACTTAGGATGACAATCAAAACAATCACTTTCTTCATACTTAGTTGGGAAATATTTGAGGTCATTCACAAACATCTTGCCTCACATAAATCACAGCATGTACAGTACTCACAGATTGAAACACGGCATCGTTTCTTTTATATAGCATCTACCACAAGAAATTGCTCGTGAGAACTCGTGCCACTGCAAATCTGGCTGCTCAAGGTTATGTTGGCTCCGGTGTAAGCGTTCAAGTCAAATTTGCTTCGATATTAGACAAACTCTAAAAGCAAGAAGCTGAAGTATATGCATTACTGAGCCCTAAATTTTCGTGCTTTAGTTTGTGAGTACTGTACTGTCGGCCATAAAAGTCAGGATCTGCTGCATAAGGTGGAGCAATGGAAAACTACATTGCTGCGTCAACTGCCATCACTGGCATGGTATTAAGGCCATTGGCCATGGCCTCTGCGATAAGATCCTGCAACACGGTGTGTTGCCAGAGCTAATCGTGGAGGCCATGGCCGATAGCCTGGATACTAAGTCATTTAACAGTAAGTGGCTCGACGACGCAAATTTTCTGTCGTTGCTGCTCGCACTGCAGATCCTGTAAAGTTTTGCTGCTGACAGTATTTTCTTAATAAACCTGTGCTGCATGCAAAGGGAACTTGCTGCTGCTGTCGCAATAAACAAGTCACAGAGCCACGGGAGTTTCTAAAACGTGGTGATTCCTTTTTATTTTTTCCTGGCTTAGGTGGCATGAACCACGGTTACGGAGGCCCCATGCACTTACCCGGGCGATTCATACGGAGGCGATTCATACGGGGTCGATTCATACGGGGGTAGCGGCCACATGGGTGGCAGGGGTCACATGGGCGGCGGTCACATGGGTGGTGGTGGGCCACCGTACATGGGCAACGGACCTCCACCACCGATGTCGCACTTCGGACCCCAGGGACCGCCCCACTACGGCATGCCGCCTGGCTACGACCACCCACCACCACCCGGGTACATGCATCACGGAGGTCCCCCGCACGGCCAGTACGGTGGCATGCCACCTCATGGAATGCATGGTGGGTAGTTTTTTTAGGTATTGCCTCTCCGTCTGTTGCCTGCATGCTCTCAGAGGAAAAACAGTGGCTCTTTACTCGATTCCGTTCCTAGCCAGGCAATGCTCTGAAAGCTGCATAAGTGTTGCGTGGGCATTGAAAGTCTTGTGTTGTAAGCCTTGTGTGGACATCAGAAGTCCTAGTCACAGCAGCTTGGCAGGATAAAGGTGTTAGATTCCTAGACAACGCAGTCACAGTTTCTTGAGGACAGAATGCAGAAGCACCTTGTATTTCAATTGGTGCATGTTAGGAAACTCCAAATGTACAAGGTGAACAGGTGCTTGACTCAAAATCAATCTATAACTGAATCACGTGCATCATTGCATGCAGACAGAAGCAGTCTTTTTTGCTTAGAATGATGGAGGGCTCAGCTGAGAGCTAGCATTTGGGGTGTCTTGACCTCTCTCTTGTGTGCCCTGTCTCTTTGACACGTGTCTTCTTGCCTTCCACGTTCTGTTCTTCGCTAACTACAAGACTTACTCCCGTATTGAGAAACGCTCTTTGACTTCAACTTGACTTGCCGCCACCTTCAATGCAGCACAAATGCTTTTTGAACGAGTCATCTTTAGGCGATGCCAAGGCAGCGGTAATGCATTTAAAACGCATTGCCTTGAGGCAGTGGCAAGTCAAGTTCAATGAAAAAGCATTTCTATATACGGGGGGTCAAGCTCGTAGCTAAATTTTTAAAAAAAGGCAGCTTTAGAACTGTGAAAACGATTAGGTGTCAGAGTACAGCGCATTGTGTGTCTTTACTTTGTGGTTCACTCGCGTACTTGTGCATGTACGCAGCCCTACCGTTTCTACTTTTCTACTTCAGTCACTGTTTGTTCTTTTGATTCATTGACCGAAAGCCCCTAACTCCTGCTTGAAATGTTGCAGGCTTCGACCCTATGGACAACGACCGGCCTTACTACGACGACTACGACATGAGTGAGTCAATCGATCAATCAATCAATCAATGTTTCTTTATTAGCATCAGAACTGTACATTGTGAGTAAGTATACAGGAGGAGGTCCCAAGGTAGTAAACCGCAGGTGGGACCTCGTATGTTAATACAAAGATAAAGCTAAAATACGAATAACGAAACAGCAAGTCACAAGAACATTTTGAACTTTCTTGCTCTCAATAATTTTTTGCTCTCAATGCTCTCAGTAAAGCACTTACTTATTCAGGTGTTTATCGATTCGCATGAACTTTTTCTTGTAAAGGTAGTTTCACTGTAGTCAAAGGCTGCTGAACCGTGAAAACATTTACCGTATTTATTCGCGTAATCCTCGCACTCGCATAATTCTCGCAGCCCCCACATCGCCCGAGAAAAATATGATTTTTTTTTCCTCAAGTAATTATCGCACCCCCGAAAACTCCCGCAATAATGTCGTCTGCTCGTTCCAGCCACTGATGATGATAGCACGTGCTATCTGGCGCCATCTCTTCAGCATCAAGCGTACTATTGCACGGAGATTCAATCCAATCCAAGCCAAGCGGAAGTGGCCAGTGCGCGTTGCCAACGTTACCAGGCAGGATCTAGTAACGTTGCGCGTTGCGGCGTGTTTTGTATGTTGTGCCGGCAATCTTGTCACGTTATGCGATACTGAAACCACACGGCTGCTTCAAGTGGCAAGGGATAGATCATGCGCTAAACAGCGGCAACAAGGCCGCTGGTAGGCCCTTCGGAGCCTACGAGTTTTGTGTTCGCTACTGGTGACGACAGCTGAAAGCCACCAAGACGCGTTGGGCTTGCTGTGTGCCTAAAACTGGGATTGATGGTAAACTTTATTTCTTCAGAAGGAAACTGCGGACGATTCTGTTAAATTGCCATTAGCCCAATACTAACATCGTACGCTTACCTTTTGAGGGCTCCTGTTGTTGCGAACACTACCGCTACGCCCGCAACGCCCACAAGCTTTGCATGTGGTATTCTAATTCTCGACTATTTTCTTCCACTTTTTGTGTCTCAAATAAATCTTGCCTTGTGTTGAACCTCTGCTTTTATTGCTGAGGTAAGCTCTAATTAGTACTTCTTAAAGCTTGCTGTAAGTTGCTGGCGTGAGAATCCCGATTTGCGGCCACTTCGTTTTCTTTTTCCCTCTCTGCGTTTTTATCGAAAGTTTTCCCCGCGTAATTCTTGCAACCCCCAACTTTGCATCAGTTTTCTGGCAAAAAAAAAGTGCGAGGATTATGCGAGTAAATACGGTATTCAGGAGAAATCCGCACTGCCAAGAAGTTTCACTTTAAAGTTAAATGAACGCCCCTTTGCCGTGGTCAAGTGGTTAAGGTACTCGGCTGTTGACACGCAGGTCGCGGTATCAAATCCAGGCTGCGGCGGCTGCATTTTCAATGTATGCGAAAATGCTGTAGGCCTGTGGGCTCAGAATTGGGTGCACGCTAAAAAACCCCATATGGTCAAAATTTCCGAAGCCCTCCATTATGGCGTCTCTCATAATCATATGGTTGTTTTTGGATATTAAACCCCACATATCAATCAATAAAAGTTGAATGAACATATCACTCCCACATCAATTCATAATTTTTGAAGTTTAAAAGCTTGCTATACTGGCATATAAACTGTAATTTTTATAGTAAATTTTAAAACTTATTTCACAGGTTACTATTTACATTTATCAAAAGTCAAATGCTGCTACTATTCAAAGTTGTTTCCACTTCTTTTGAATCTGAAAAATTAGCATTTACACAAGCCTTGTTAAACTTTTTAAGAAATATTGAGCAGGTTGGTTAGTTCGTGACATTTATGGCCATTTTCCCTTAAATACGGGATATGTACTTTTAACTTGAATACTATGCTTCAGGTGATAGCAGAGTTTTTGTTTGCTATTTTTAGAAATGTCGACAGTAAATATTCATAAGTAGCTTGTGCATTTCTCGCACGTTACTTAAAGGGGCCTTGCAACCCATTTACATGTAGCCATTGTATCGCTTCATTAAAACTAGCTTGTTGCCTCACGAATCGATCGCTGCAAATATATTTAGAACCAGTCTAATACAAGCAGAGTTACAGAGATTTGTTGCATGCTGTACTTGCTTTCTCTCTTCTCCTTGTAGAGCTTCCTATATGTACACTAGAGGAAACTCTGGTGCTAGTGTCTATGGGAGCTGCAATGCATGACGCTTCAGCGAGCATGAGAATTATGAGTAATGCACGGATTTGCCTAGTCTTCGTACTTTCCCTTCATTCTGGCTTCACAGGGCTAGAAGCTGCTTTGTCACGAAACGACAATCGGGAAATGTTCAGCAGTTGCGCTGCGCCACCTTAATTTTTTAGTCTTATCATTTCTAATCGGGTTACGAAGTTCAAAAGGGCTCGTCGTTCTTTTCTTCGAAACAGAACCAAAACACAGCAATAAACGAAGCCACAGGTTCGATTCGCTGCCCTCAAGTACGAAGGCGGGGCAAATTCCTGTACTATTCATCGCATTGTCCCCACGGCCCCCGAACAATCGCAGGGCCTGAGTCCCCTCTAGTTTTTAGGAAGCTATGCATCTCTCGTCCCGACGAGTCCACTGGCAGCTAAGCAGGCAGGGATAGCCGTGTGGAAAGAAGCTGCATCACACACAACTTAATTTCAATGTGATAGCGAGCACGTGGCGCCCTCCCGCGGTGAGCGCAGTAACCATGGGGCTACGATGCTCAAATCCGGGAAGTTGAGTATATGGCAGGGACCTTTGGTTACACAGCAGTCATTTGTGCAAAGAAGAGAGAGCGATTTTTAGTGGGCTTTGAGAAATTACCCGGCCCGTGCTGTGAAATTCCTGGTCTGCTGCAAGCTTAAAAACTGTTGCCTGGCCGCTTTGAAACTGTGAAAAGAAGTGCATCTTGGCCAACTTTCCCTATCTGGTTCTCACCCTTATTCCTGCATATTGTCTTTTAAAGATTCAAGATCCCGGCAGGACTATGGCAACTTCTACATCGACTCGGAGAGCATGCCTCCTCGTGGTGACATGGGCCATCCCAGTGCCGGTACCGAGAAGAATGCAGTTTTTACACATACTTGCATGTGCACGTGTGTGTAGCGTACGCTGTGCGCATTTATTCAAAATGTAACACATCTTTTCTTGAGGCACCTGTTGTAATCGAGGGCACTGCCATTATAGCGGAAAAAAAAAAGGATTCCTCACTAGCCTGACAGAAAACGTAAGATTAGCAAGCTTTAGGGATGGGGACGTTGTGGCCATAACAGCGTTGTGTATGTTATAACAGGCACGTTTTGCATAGAACGCTTGTGCATAATTTCCGCTCGTTTACACAATGTGAAACATGCATCGCAGATGCCGTTTGTGCAGTGCCAAAGCTTGCTTTTACAAGTCTTTCTTTCTTTTCTTTTTCTTGTCACGGAGAGCTCAAGTCACTACTAAATGGCAGCATAAAAAATTTGGGAAACTTTGACTCGTTAGGTTGCATGCTGCTACGAAGTTTAAGGGCGAGCTGTTGGTAATACGTGTTGACCCCAATCTTTGATTCTTAAGAGTAGATGCGATTTAGAAAAAAAGGTTCCATTAATATGCAGCCTAGGGCAATGAAATTTTTTTCGTATATATAAGCTTTTATGCTGATTTCAAAAATCCTAAATAATTTTATAGAAAGTTGCACTTTTTTTATGCCATGACAATTGATAGAGTATAACTCTTTTTAAACAAACATTTTCCGCTGCTAAATATTTATCGTTCTGAGCCATAAATTGGCTCATATTTCTCGACTTTAGCTGTAGAATGCAAATAACTATCAATAAAGTGGGCACATAAAACATTTTAGTAGAAAAAAAATGTAATGTGGGAGTTAGAATTCTCAGCCTCTAATAAACGCCTCCTTTAGGTTTGTAATAAATATACAGGCTGTATCAAGAATTAAAAGCAGATTACTTGCACCCTTCATATGTCAAGGATTATGTGGGCAAAATTTCATTACAGTAAGGCTATCTGAACTGCCAAGAACATGATTTTCTAACTCACGAAGTTGCCCCATAATAGACCTTGAGAAAAACGCATTTTAAAGGCATAACTGAAAGGTCATCTATGCAGCAAAGATATGTTTTTAAGATGATTTTTTCCATTATGAGAGCTTGGCAATCATTGTTATTTTGAGCCGGTGGCTTTAGTGAACCCCTCACGTGAAATGCAATGGCAAGCCGCCAGGTGAGAATACCCAGGGGACTCTTGACAATGAGCTCATCTTAGCTTTTTATAACCAGCTTGTGCTCTTTAAAAGCAATTTTAACCTCTCTCGGTTTAATTACAATTTTCAGTTTTTTTTGTGTGTAGAAAAAGTAGAGAATCTAAACTTGTAAAAGCAAATAAAAACAGAAATGTGTAATATTGAAAAAAAAAAAAAAAAACTTGTTTTTCGACACACATCTCCCCTTAATTTTATGATATGTAGCACGCAGAAATAGGAAAAGTGTCGCACTGCCATAAAGCCGGGCGGTTGTGATCAAGGAGGAAATGTGTACATGGTTTGCACATGCAGAGTTCCTTTTAACAGTAGGCTAGACCATACCGCCGAGGGCTTCACAGCCAATCCCCATCTGTCGATGGGGCTCGTCTGTGGCTTTGAATCAGTCTCCCTTCTCCAGGGGGAGTCGTGCGACCTGACGGGAGTTTTCACGCGGTGGGCGGTGCACACCCTCGCAACGTCGAGGTGGATCACGTTCCCCTCGTTCGTGCGCTTCCTTTGCGCGCCGTGGAATCTGCTAGCTTGTTCTAGACGAGTACTACTCTCGCCCGATGCCACAGCGTAAGCCTTCCTCAGGCAGCACGCTCCCTGAACAACCCCCACTGCCGCGACATGGGAGGGAGGGGGGTCGCATGGCCTTCTTCCCCCTCCCATCGTGTGGGGATGGGCAACGGGTATTTTGGTGGATGGCGAAGGCACTTAGACTTGCCCGCAGGGCCTGGCCTACTTGACCCGCGCCATCCTCCCCCTGGGTTTGTGCCCATGAACTCTCAAGGGTACATGCCACCGGAGCTGCCCCCGGAGGCCCTGGAGTGCCTGGTGCCCACCATGCCGTACTACGAGCTGCCCGCAGGCCTCATTGTGCCCCTCGTCAGGGTACGTGGCCTCGCCTTTTGCACTTGGGCCATGTTTGCAACAAAGTCTCTGCAGTGGGAAATGCTATCGGGCATTTCATCGTAACATTTGGCTGTACACTCAAGCCTCGATATAATGGAATATCGATTATAACAAAATAAATGAAAAAGTTTTCCAATATAGCATTTGGAATATACATTTATAATTATGAATTTTTCGGATATAAAGAACTTAATCTTCTGTAAGATGCAACATCGTTATGATGAGGTTTGAGTGCAATTAGATATTTAAGTTCGACTTCTATGATCATACGACATGCACTTCTATAGCACTGCCTATTGAGTGACAAGATGGAGTTCAGGCAGACCACTTGGGCTGCTAGTTCAGGTGTGCCAGCTTAATGTTTTTATTTGTCTAGTTGATCCGTTGCTTCACCCGCATGTCTTGTTCTCTGGGCTTGTGCATGAAGCTTGATGACAGCGACTACAGGCCGCTGGACCCCAAGGAAATGCGGCTGCCTCCACCAGCGCCCCCCAGCGAGGCCCTGATGCAAGCCGTGGAGATGTTCTACAGTCCACCTTCTCACGAGCGGCCGCGTAACAGGTTAGTCTAATGCGCTATTTCTGCACTGCTACACTTCCAGTTCTGCACTTAATTGATTTGAAGGGTAGCTGTGATTGGAGCCAATTACTGCATATCTGACAAGTTAGTGCATATTCACAGTTTGTGCTATCATGGCATTTTGTAGTGCTGTAAGCGAGCCATATAATGTTCTGTATGGCGTTACAAGAGGCCCCGGGGTCTCTTGGGTAGCAGGACGTGAAGACCAAAGGTCTAGGCTGGGAACATCCAGGCAGCAGCAAGGCAAAAGACAGCCGAAAAAAAAAAAAAAAGAGCATTTAATTCATAACGAAGACAGTTCACGAACAAAGCATGTGGACAAGGAAGCCTCCATTGCTAGATGCTGCCGGCCTTTTATAAGCACCGAAACACTAAGGGTTGAAGGGGGCAGCTGGGGTGCTCTGATGCATCAAGTGTCTGTACGAGGTACGCCAGCAAGGGAGAGAGCACTGTGAAGCGGTTCGCACGTTCAGCACATTAATGATGCTAGGTTCTGAGAAACAATCCCAGGTAGTCATGCTCAGGGGTCCAGCCTGTAGGAACATTCGCAATGGTAGGTAGCAGCACACCTTTATCAAGGGCCATAGAATCGACACAGGTACAGGTTCGCAGTTCAGTACTTCTCCTGTTGCCTGTGATTTCCATACTTTGTTGTCTCTTTCCTTTAGGCTTAGACTGATTAGAGCTCTGTAGCACTACAATATTATCTGCTCGATGATTAACTAAGAATTCAGTACAAGCTCTGTTCACAAAATCTGGTTGACCTGCCCTTCACCTGTGTTAGAGTTAAAATTTCGTAGAGCCCATTGCCGGGCTAGTCGGTTAGGTTTCGAAATTCGCACGGCTCATCACAACACGACAGGGACTGTGTGTGTCCGTCTCATTCCATGTTGTCTAAATTATGAATCTGTGAGTGAGCCATGCCAGCTAGTCTCTCCTTTTCCCCCACCTTATGAAAATATTCTGCATATGTACTTCAGAAATCATAGCGCACTAAATGAATACGGGACAGGATGAAGACAGCAGAAGTTCTTTCCAGTTTTATGTTGTGTTCTGTTCGTTTAGTCCACTATTGTTTCTAGAGTAGGATGAACTACCAACACACTCAAACCTTTTCCCATTCTACATATGCCCTTTCATCCTTGGTGTTCCCCTTTTGATCACGTCTGTCAGCTGTTCCTCATGAATGCGTATTGTTCTTTTTTCAGTGAGGGATGGGAGCAGTTGGGCCTGTACGAGTTCTTCAAGGCCAAGAGCCAGTACGTTCGCAAGCGGCCCTCGTCGGACGACGAAGGGGACGGGTACAGTCGGGGCCGCAGTGACCGGGACGAGCAGCAGGAAGAGCGGAGAGCCAAGGCCAAGGAGATCGAAGACCAGATTAGAGACGACATTGCCCGGCGCAAGTACCGCGAGAGCAAGAGGTGAGGAACGGTGCACGTGTAGGGCTCATTTTTTGGGTGACCAGATGTTACTGTTCCCAGTGGCGGGACTCAAGCGAAGCTTGTGTCACTTCGTAAGTATCGTTGGTATTGTAGGTGTGACCGAAAAAGAACCTAGTGCCTGCAGGCGCAAAGAATTACAGCCCTCAAAGATGCACTGATCGCTTGCATATGTGTATGCACCGTTTTCTAATGATCATGTATCGCGGTCACTTGTCATTTCACATTGCCGCGTATCATTATTGCATGGATGTGAACGCATGGTCGTCGTACTAGTTACTTGCGGGAACCAAAGTGTTGTGCTGCTAAGCACGTGGATGACGATGCGATTCCCAGCACGGAGGAATGAAACGGTTAGAAGGGAGCATTGCACAATGCAATAGGAAGTAAGAAATAAAGAACAAAAGTGAATTAGTATGTCAGGCAAGCATACGCCAAGCTTTGCTTGCCTTTATTTTCACGATAGGGTGATAGCTCCTGAATTTTTGGTGGTTTATGTTATTCTTTCTGATATTCCTGTAAAGAGCTCATACACAAAAGATAAGCTTTGTCGACTTCAGCACATTTCTCCGAAAAGCTGAACTGTTGTGAAGCCACACCTGCTGTAGTTCGCATTTGTCAATTGAGAAGGTGCATAATTGTGGCAAGAGGGTGTGGATGAGTTCAGTTCCTAGTGGTTTGATTTCTAGCATTTTAATGGGGCCGAAAATCAAGATAATTCATATACTTATATTTGGGTGCATGTAAAGAATGCCTCATAGCCACATTAATTTTAAAGCTCTGGCAAAATTAAGTTGTCAGGTGACAGAATTGTGGCACCTGAAGGGAACGTCCTACCACTTCCACGCACTAAAAACCATCGGAAAGCAAAACTACAAGCATGCGAGTGTACGTGATCGGTTTACGAGATCACGTGCATAATCGTCGTCGTCGTCATTTTGAGCATCGTCATAATCATCACCATTTTGAACATCATTGTCATCTTTATTCACTCCCGCCTCTGGTCACATGACGTGCATGGCTACTACTGCAACCAGCAGTACAGCCCGCTTATAACGATCCTGAGCCTGACGCGGCGTCCGTTCGCTGTATCCCGAAGTTCGTAGTAAATGAAACACAGCTTTTAAAAGTTGCGAGTGAAAACACAAAAGTTTTTGCCCAGAAAACTCCGCGATGCACGTGTGTCAAAGAGCAGAAGCGATAAGGGCGGTGTTGAGTTTATTTAAAATGGCAGCGTGCTGTGACATAAGCTGCATGAGGCACTGGCTCCAAAGTTTCGTCGTTCTCGCAATCCGATTCCTCCAAATCACTCTTGCCGCGTACTTAATTCACAGTGCCCTAATTCGTGCACGGTTCCGCGGTGTCGGCATCATCATTGGCCGTAATTAAAACATCGCAACTTATGTCCCACCCTCTCTACCACGTCGGAGTCGACGACGCGCGGCTACAAAACGCCGCCGGAGTGGTCCCGTTTGGAAGCTTCACGCTTGGCATTAGGCCCAACGTTGACGAAGTCGGCCTCGTGAAAACAGTTTTGTAGCCGTCACCACCACCCACGAAATATTTACCATCTCCATAGCTGAATACCGGGATGCCCGATGCGGCAAGTTAACTGCCAGGTGATAAGCAGCTATGAGAAAGCGCTACGCAATGCAGCACCTAACGCGCGGATTACGCCCAAGCCAAGTGGTCACACTTTCGACGTTTTGTTGAGCGGCAGGAAAAAGCGTGCAAGGACTCCCGTCCTCCATCCTGACCACACACGCACACCGAGAACGAGCAAGACGCGCACACGCAACACACATGCCAGAACTCGTGGTACAGCTCTGGGCCCGTTTCTAGTCAGAAAACAAAACTTCTGAATTCGAGTCAGCCTGGTGCTGGCGTCGGTGGAGACAGGCGAAGGAGTTGTGTCAAGAGAGAAGAGCCGATTTGCGAGAGATGGGCAAGGAATTGCGATGGAGTGAAAAGAGGGGAGGATGCGGCGGGAAGGCGACCTTGAAAACCAAAACACGCGGGAAGGAGTGTTGCGAAACGACGGACCGATCCCGCCGAAGCCACCACTGTTGCGAAAGACGGCGACGCCAACACGGTCCCGATGGCGCCACTGCTTCCAACTCCGCCGGGAAGGTCACCAGCCGTTTGGTAGCGTATGTTTATCAGCTCGCGACTGCTTCTGCGCAGAGCTGATAAGACGAGCGGACGAGACGACGGTGAGTTAAACAAGGTTTATGTACAGCATATATACAGAGGCGTTACAATTTCGGCACTGGGGCCGACAGAGACTCGAAAAGCCGAGCTCTCCTCTCTAACACATAGGTCAGCCTTTCGCCTAAGACCGCTGACTCGCATACATGTCGGCCCTCCGACATGGGGTCTCCTCGCTCATAGGAACGCCGATCGCGACGCGCCGCAGGGCTTCTTTTATTTACACCGGGTCCAACCAAAATGTCCAATCAGAAGCGCCGCTGGTCGTCAGGGCAGATTCCGCCAATGGGGGCCGCCGCGCCATGCGTCAGACCACCAGACATGCGGCCGCCGGCTCGCTGTCACGTGCGCAGCTGACTCACTGCACATGGGCCAGAGGGGCGCCGCGCGTGTTCACGCCGTCGAGGTGATCGCGCCAGGCGGACTGGCCTTGACCCAGATTGCCTTTTTCAGAGGCACGGACGTTTGACGAGGACTCGCTGGCATAACAGCACCCCCGCCGCCAGACAATGCACCGGAAAGACGAGCTGCTTCCACGGGGCTCGGATGTCAGGTGCGCTCGTTCGCCAGGTCCCTCCAGGTTCGCCTCCAGGGCCATGGGGAGAATACAGCTCCAGACTGGTCCGGGAACACATTCCACTTTTGACGACGGATCCCAGCTCCACTGGCTTGTCGCCACAACTTGCTGGCCAACTTCGCTCGTCTCTTCTGACCATCTTCGGTTTCAGCACTTGTCGATGGTTCTGCAACTTGCTAAGAACGGTTCGACAACAGACAACACACGACACAAGCAAGTGCCCCCGGTCACCCGACAGAACACCAGACAAAGTATAGTACAACATATACCTATCTACGTGTTTATCGGAATTTTGTTCCCTCTACATCAAGAGGCACATGTGGGACACAAGACTCTTAAAATGACAACTCAATTTTTTTTTCCACGTACAACAACGTAACGAATTAGAATACCACATAAAGTTGGCCCCTTGAGATCACTCTGAACGAGAGCGCTCAGCCCAGGTCGTGATGAGGTCAAAATTTTGCCCCGAATCGCCAGCCAGAAACCGAAAGGTTGAGAAGTTACTAGCTGGAACGCACTGCTCAATGCACCTGCATTAGCGTTTACCTTTCTTTTTTTCTTTAGCGAACGTCAAAGTTGCGCTGTGGAGCAACATGCTCCACTCCAGTAACCGGCCACTTTTAGGCGACGATACCTATGCGGCACCAAGAGCGGCTCACACTTTCGACGTTGCACAGGGGAACAACGATACGGCTTGCTACGGATTGACTCCTCACCGCTTAGCTCGATGTCGTGTTCGATCACCCTCATGTTTCCGGGGCAGTCCGAAAACACGTCTTCAAACTCGGAACCAATCTTTCTCAGGTCCTCTTTTTCAGGTCCTCCTTCACTTAAGCTAGGCTCTAGGTTTATCTGCTCCCGAATTACTTTCGATCCCCCTTCGATTACCTCAATAGAACTCAAACTTTCTGCTTCCTCTTCCTCTGAAGCATTCAACAACAGATTTACGACCGCTTGATGTTGAACGTATGGTTTCATCAAGTTGTAAATTTTGTCCGGCCGCCTTCCTAATTTCACTTCATAATTTGAATCGCAAGGCTTCGATAATACTTTGGCGGGCCCTTCCCAATCAACCTCAAGCTTGTTCCTTTTGGATGGCTGCAGCCGCATTACCTGATTATCAACTTCAAAAGCGCGCTTCTTCCCCGATTTCTCGTAGTGCTCCTTCGACAGCACTTTTGCCGCGTTTTTCTGGCTTTCCACTAGCGCTTCAATTTGGCTTTCCACTAGCGCTTCAATCGAGAGATCCTCACTCTGCTCTCGAATGAGCGTCTCTCGATCAACTCTCGGCAGCTCGCTCCAACTTTCCGCTACAGGCGAGAGCGTTGCAGCCCTCTCGCTCTGACTCAATGGCGCCATGTCGTCTCCCCTTTCTCCGGAAACCGCGCCGGTCGTGTCGGCGACGGGCCGCTCGCGCGACTGCTCACATGACTCACGCGGAAAGTTTCCTCTCTGAGGTTCCGTCGACCCGCCGACAAGGTCACTTGAGAGTTCACCGCTTTGAACAAGGTCAAGCTCTTGCGAGAGCTTCCGCGCTTGCGATCGCGTGAGGGCCATGTACGCTAAGTTGGGGAAGAACGATTTACCCTGCTCTTTGAGAAGCTGCTCTGAGTTGTTGGAGAAGAGATAAGGAAAACGATCGGGAAGCGCGGCAGACACAGCCGCTTCGGTGCGAAGCTTACCGAACGGGCCTTCAATGACAACCGTGGCGATTGGTAAGCAAGCACTCTGCTCCTCGGCGACTTGCCTGATCGACGCGCATTCTCCTGTAAAGTCATCCGGAGACACCAATGAAGGATGGACAACATCCATGGTTGCCGCGGAGTCTCTAAGTGCTCGACACGCTTTCCCATTCACACTAATTTCTTGGATATACGGCTCCAACAACCGCATGTTCTTTTCCGATTCTCTAATTGTTGCAAAAGCAAACTTTTGCTTACAGTTTATCGCGATGTGCCCTTCCTTTTTGCAGTTGTAGCAGATTAGTGGCTTCCGTGATTCAAACGCCCGTGTGGTATCAGTGCGTTGTTTAGAAACCTCACTCGATTTTTCCGCTTCTGTTTTCCCTTCCTCTACAGTGTCCTTCGTAAGAGACGGGTCCTTTTTGAAATTACGGTGCGGAGCGGGTTTCCGTTGATCAGGTTTCTTTGAAAAGCCCTCTTTTCTTTCATCCTTTTCAACGCGCGCTGCCCTGCTATGCAACTTTCGGCGAGTATAATACTCCTCAGCTAACTCTGCTGCCTTGTTTAGCTGTACTTCACCAAGTTTGTCCTGCAGCCAAAGTTTGACATCCTCCTCGATGCAGCGGTAGAATTGCTCCAATGCAACGCATTCCACCACTTTATCGCGGTCGTCATCAACACCTTCGCCCTTGAGCCATTCAATCAAATCGGCTTTAAGACGAAACGCGAAGTCAACGTGTGACTCATTCCCCTTTTTAGCATATCGGAACCTTTGCCTGAAAGCCTCGGGTGACAACTTATAACGTCTCAAGAGCACTTCCTTAACCTCGTCATAGCTCTCAAACGCTTCCCTCGACAAGCAAGTTATCGCGTCGGACACTTCGCCGGGAAGAAGAGCTAGCAGGTTCCGCGCCCAAAGAGGCCGCTCCAAAGCGTTTCGCTCACAGACGTGTTCAAACTTGACGAGATACTTCGCCATGTCCTCGCCTACTACGAACGGTGGCAGTTGGTCCCGAATTCTAAAACCGCTGACCTGAACTGTTGGAGAACCTACGCTAGGCGCCTGCGAACACTGTAGGATTGCCAATTCTAGTCGTTTCAACTCTAGGCGCTCTTGTCTTTCAGCTTCTTCGCGAGCTTCTCGCCTTTCAGCCTCCTCGCGGCGTGCTTTGATTTCCACCCAGGCCTCATCGACTTCCTCAGCCGACACTCCCTCATCCTTCATGATCTCAAGGATCGCTTGTTTTCGTTTCGCACGGCCCAAGGTAATGCCGAGTTCCTCACAAATTTCGATGAGTTCCTTCACTTTAAGGTTCTCCATCGTTCACACTAGCCTCTTGCTGTTTGCCCCTGTTAAGAATCTACTTGCCGTACCCACTATAAGCCTACTAGCAAGACGCGCAAGCAATTTTTCACACTCCCGTGTTTACCCCCTCCGCATTAACTTTGGTTTCAAAGCACTTCGACTTTGCTTGAAACGATCAAAGCTCACTCTAATGCTTCACACAGCCCTTCTCTAAACTACTACAACCTGAGCTAGAGTAGTCTGGTGAACTGAGGGGAAAACATCAGGCACTCACCGCATCGATGTCGCTGACGCCGGCCGATCCCACCGCTGCCACCACTGTTGCGAAACGACGGACCGATCCCGCCGAAGCCACCACTGTTGCGAAAGACGGCGACGCCAACACGGTCCCGATGGCGCCACTGCTTCCAACTCCGCCGGGAAGGTCACCAGCCGTTTGGTAGCGTATGTTTATCAGCTCGCGACTGCTTCTGCGCAGAGCTGATAAGACGAGCGGACGAGACGACGGTGAGTTAAACAAGGTTTATGTACAGCATATATACAGAGGCGTTACAATTTCGGCACTGGGGCCGACAGAGACTCGAAAAGCCGAGCTCTCCTCTCTAACACATAGGTCAGCCTTTCGCCTAAGACCGCTGACTCGCATACATGTCGGCCCTCCGACATGGGGTCTCCTCGCTCATAGGAACGCCGATCGCGACGCGCCGCAGGGCTTCTTTTATTTACACCGGGTCCAACCAAAATGTCCAATCAGAAGCGCCGCTGGTCGTCAGGGCAGATTCCGCCAATGGGGGCCGCCGCGCCATGCGTCAGACCACCAGACATGCGGCCGCCGGCTCGCTGTCACGTGCGCAGCTGACTCACTGCACATGGGCCAGAGGGGCGCCGCGCGTGTTCACGCCGTCGAGGTGATCGCGCCAGGCGGACTGGCCTTGACCCAGATTGCCTTTTTCAGAGGCACGGACGTTTGACGAGGACTCGCTGGCATAACAGGAGGCAGGTCGGGCAGCTTGCTTGAAAGGTCCGCGCAACTCGCGCATAGAATGCGCGCGCAGAGGTCTAAACATGGCCGCCTGGATCGGCGCGCGCGGCGGTGTTCAAAGAATCGTTTTGTTGCGCCGGCGGCTTTGCATGGCCTCACCGACTTTGATATTTTGCGATTCGTTTCGCGCAAATTAAATGCCGTTTTTATGCTTCCACACGCGTGCGGAGGGCATGCTGAGCTGAGTGTGTAGTGAGTTAGAATAGGTCCTAAACACGAAAAGAATCGCAAGTGGTGGGTGGGGTAGCGTACGCGCGTGCACTAGAACGATACGATAAGACAAGACGCAGACGATCAGATACAGACGATGTTGGCAAATGGTCTCGTCACTCCAGGCCGGTGACGCCAACGACAGTACCAGCGATCAAAAACAGGGGAGATGGCCGACCGGTCTTTGAAAGAGCGGTGGCAGTGTGAAAACACAGGCCTCGTCTTGCTCAGAGTAGCGGGGGGAGGGGGGGGGCAAAGGATGGAAGGGTGGGAACAAAAAGCGGTAGGGGAGAGCGGCAATTAGAGGGATGCAAAGGTAGGGTCGGCATTTAACAATAAGAATCTATGGGCACCTCGCCGATGCCTCATCCATGGTCGAAAGTGGTTTCCCGGGAAGTCGGCAGAGCGCCGACTTCGTTCACTGTAACAGATCGGCGGCTCTCGGAGACATTCGTTGTAAGTGCGATTTTGTGTCATTGAAACAATGTGTATTTTCACGGTCACACGGATATTGTTCGTTTTAAGCGAAAGTTCGTTTTAAGTGGGGCCGTTCTATGTGGACTCGACTGTACCATGGCAATGACGACAGCACAGTATAGACCGGGACAGCTTCGCTGTAAAGATATGAGAAAGGCACGTGCCACTAGATGCCACGTCTTTAAACTTAACTAAGTAATGTAAGAATTGCCGACTGGCTGTGTTGGTTCAGCTTATATAGAAGAGCAAGGCAAGATGTGACAATAGCAAGGGATAGAAGCGAACATGATGCACACGCATGGAGCGGCCATGTGTTGCTTGAAACGTACTGTGTGTTGTTTGTATGGTGTAGCACTATGTATTGCTTGATATGTTTATGACGGCTGCAGCTTGGCTCTAATGCCAGTGAGTTTTCCTCAATCATGTTCCAGCCCCCCAAGTGCAAGGCATGAGGAGGAGCCTAGGAGAAAGAAGCGGAGTCGCAGCCGATCGGAGTCCCGGTCCCCGCCGAGGCACAGCAGACGGTCACGGTCGCTCTCGAGGTCACACTCTCGGTCAAGGTCCCGGTCGCGTTCACAGTCTCCCTTGAGACGGCGCTCTCCGGAACGCAGTCCAACACCTCCTTCTTTTTTGTAAGTTTTGTTTTTAGCCTTTGAGTGAGCATCTAGCAACAGCAATTAAGGGGGGACATGGGTCTTTAAAATTTTTTTTCTGTTTTTGGCTCAATCTTGACCAAACCTCACCATCTTGGACAGTTTTTCATGCTGATTTCAAATATGTAATTGTTTCTGAAATAGCTTCAGTGGATAAAAAGATATTAACATCTGTAATTTAATTAATTATGCACTTCATTGGGGGCTTTTTGGCAACTTAATCAAGCCAGATCCAAAAAATAAATGCATAGCCCCAATGCTGAGGGCTTTCTGTATGGGGTGATGCTATTTTTATTAATTTTTAGGCATTATATAGATAAGAAAACAGACCAGCACTTACAATGGATATTCTGTTCAATTTCCGCTCATTACTATCCATAATTGTAATTAACAGTATGCTTCTAGAGTAATCAAAATAGCATCATCCCATAGGTAATGTTATTACAAATAAAATGATACCAAGTTTGTCATTCTCAATCAACAGTAACATATAAGAAAAACCCCTAAGGTTTAGTGTGGTGCACAAAAACATCGAACTGAGAAAAACGCATTTAAAGTTTCTAATAACTGTAACTTTTGCTAAAGTGAAGCTAGAGCAATAAAAATGGCACCGTTGTATAGCTCTACATTATGTGAGTATGGCTGTACCAAATGTGTCAATGCACCTTCCCAAAATATTTGCCACAGCTCATTTAAAAACTGTGTACTGGCCGTTGAATCAGTATAAGGAACCCAGTCTACAACTTTGTGGCTGTTCTAGTGCACTGAAAACCAAAGGAAGACACATGTTATATATAAAAACATCGCCCTTTTATACATAAAACACTATTTCAAGTAAAACACACATTTTTGTCCCAGACATCCTTACAATTCTACAGCATGCCAGGGCTGTATGCAGTGTCTCTTGCAGGCTTATGTCGCTTTGCAAGTGTTGCCTTTGTTGAACTGCTCTGCAGGTGCTCCCTCCGCGATTTGTGAAGCCTGGTTTTATCCTTTTCAAGGCTACGACGCATGAAGAGATTTCCTGCACTGTAGCCTAGCGTCTCAGCAATTGCTTCATTGCTCTTCGTGGCCCCCTGATTAAAGCGGCTGATGGCTTCAGCCACTGCTCTTTCTACGCTGCGCAGTGAGGCATGGGTGGTCTTGGGGACTTGTTGCCAAATTGTAGCGTGTAAGCTCTCACTAGGATTCTGGGTGATCCCATCACTGCACCTTTCCAACAATGCTTTGTCGCTAAGCCTCATAAACACAGGCTCTAGTGCCTCACAGACGAAATCGGGCAGGCTGTTCTTGTGCGGTGGAGGCACCTCACTATTGGCTATGGCCCTGTTGAACTTGCACCATGAATCTGTTCCCTCAGGGCAGAGGTCATGTTTGGGTGCCTCGTCTCTTGATGACATGTGCCTTAGTGTGGCCAGCACAGCCTTTTTCATGCCTGGCACATCACTCTTGTGGCTCCTCAAGGCATAGCCATAGTAAGAGGTAATTTTCTTTATTTTGTCTTGAGTGAGCCTACCTTTTCCGCCAAGTGACCCACCTTGAGCTTTTTTCTTTTCGATGAGCGTTCGTAAGGCAGCCCCCATTCGTTTGTGCACATGGTTGATGCAGTCTTTTTTTTCAACTTTTATGTGTCCGTAAACTTCATCTTCAGTGAGGGCATGAAAGGTTCGGCTATCACCATCTGAAAGCATTGTTGTGTACCGAAGCTTATGCTTTTCTAAGGAGCGTCGGAAGAGGCGTAGGGCTGCTTCTACTTCCATCTGGCCAGCCTTGCAGTCAACATTTTTCTGGCACACAGGGGCGTGCTGGACGAGCCAAGCAGCGTGTCCCTCCTCATCTTCCTTTGGTCCAGTGGCGCAGCCCAGGCAAAAGTTTGAAAGTACAACGTGATCAATAACTAAACCAGTGTACATTTCAATTATACAACCAACACAGATATGGGAGCTGTGTCCACGGGTAAGCCACGTGCCATCATAAATGACGTCGACGTTGCCCGGTGGATTGCCAAACTCCGCATAGAGTTCTTTGACGCGGGCAACGCTAGTGGATTCGCATTCGGCAGCAGTCGCACCGCAGGCTTCCCGCATGATTTTCATGTGGCTTTGATATGTTTTCTGGTGAAGCCCTCGATGCGAAATATTCATCGCGGCAAAAAAGTCCGTCAGAGCTGTTGCCCCTTTGCCGATAGTATTCATCGCTTTCATGGCACGCAAATTCACTTCAAAAGGCCTTACTTTGGCCTGGCTATTTTCGGCAACTCTCGGTGAAGAAAACCGTTCTTCGCGAAAGTCGCAACTGCTGCATGCGAGCACGAGTTTTGAGCACAGCCCATAGTCTCTTTTTCCCTTGGAGAAAGTCATACTTTTTGAGCCGCACTCGGGGCAGGGGAGAAGTCCAAATAGCGAGTCTATCGCTTCTGTATCAACAATGGCAAATTGCGTGCCGTTTTCTTTGTCGTCGCCCTCCAGCTGAACGTCCAGCAGCTCAAACTTTCGTGCTGTCGCGCACTGCGATGCCAGGGACTCTTTTAAATTCGCCGCACGTATGGAGCACTCGGCGAACTCGTCCGCAGAGTAAAACGTCGTGTCGACACGACCTTGAATGGTTCCAGTAGTGCCGGATGACGATCCGCTGACGTGATGATCCGACGAAGTGCTGCAGCTGGGCCGAATAGAGGGCACCGCTTCGGCAGGCATTCGCGCCAGCGAATCGTCGTCTGAATGTGCTGCCTCGGCAATAACAGGCACTTGCGCCAGCGAGTCGTCGTCTGAATGTGCTGCCTCCGCAATAACAGGCATTTCCGACAGCCCGTTGTCGTCAGAATGCGCTGCCTCGGCCATCTCCGGCGTTCTCGGCGGCGCGCAGGCCGCTCCCTTCTGCCGCGCATTCCACGCTCGCTTTCGTTTCCTGCCGAAAGCTTGACGAGTGTTCTTCTTCAGGCGAGCTTCCCAAGCCATGCCGGCGAAATGCAGAAAGACGTGTACGTCGGCGACGTCGGTACACGAGCGGGTAGCAGACGAGATAACACGCACGAGAGCAGGCGCCGACGGAGCAAAACCAAACAAACAAAAAAAAAGAGCGAGCAACCGTGGCCGCGCCGCCGCGCCAGCCAATGGTAAGCGCGAGACGGGGGGGCTCGCCGGCGCGCGCGCGCTCTAGCCAATCAGCGGTTCGGCAGACGGCTTCGCAAAACGGGGGAGGGCAGTCGTTGTGTTGGAGCTACGCCATTTTGAGAGCCCGCAAAACGCGCACAAAGGAACCAGCTTCAAAACAAGCCCAAGATGGCGCCGATCCGCCGGCTTAAGGTCCCTAGATGAAACAAGTTTCCAAGGTAGCGACACCCTCCCTTTTCCTCCTCGCTTTTTTGCCTGAAGCGCCCCCTAGAAGGTTTAAAACATTCATCCAAAAGCGAATGTTTGGGTTCTGTTGCTACGGTGAATAGATGTAAATGAAACAAAATGGAACGAAATAAGACGTAGAATAAACAGTTACTTTTATGAACATAAACGGCACAACACAAGAGCAAGCGGGATGTGCGTTACTCAACCGGCAACGTTGGGCTGTTCTATACTTTACACCACTAGCCATGGCGTCTCGCGTAGTACATTTTAGTTCCACGGCCGCGGTATTTCGTCCAGTTCTAACTAGTCCACTTCTCCGATTGTGTTTTGTTCGTGCTGTGACACAGTGGACGTGCTTCTTGCTGGATCCTGTAAGTGGCCACAGGGCGTGACGTTGTGACGATTGATTACAACCGGCTTGTGCACACGCAAGAAAAAAAAAACTAAGACTAGACTGGTACGAACACTCGTCCAGCAGCACTGCGATGACGTTTTTTTTTTTTTTAAATGTGCCCATTTGGACAATCGTGATGCCAAGTGATTCTGATGCGGTGCTGGGAACTTCCTGAAAAGTGAGAGTTCTACTGGTGAGGTGTCTCGAAGCAGCGCGTTTCGGCTCAAGCGGGAACTGGTCAAGAGTGAAATGTTTCTGAAGGTGCGTTGATTACAACCTACAACTGTTCTGTATACGTGCATACCCACATGTATTTGTACCAACTGGCATGCACTGGACACGCATTAGACGCGCGCCTGGCGTTTCAATAAAAACCGACAAGTGAACTCGCTTCGCAGATCCGCGTCGACATACGTTGACGGAGTTGCACGAAAGCATTCGCGTGAAATGGTTCATAGTTGCACTTCATGGTGCGCTTAATCTCGGAAAGCACGAGGTAAGTTGAAGAGAGCGAAACCATTTTCTGTTGTTTACCGCAACGCAGCATTGCTGAAAAACGCAGATGTTGCATTGAACAAGCATGGCGTAACAATCTTGGTCGACTTAGCGCACACCGAAACGCTCCTCCTCTTCAGTTTATGTTCTGGCTACGATTTTGTCTTTGGTCACGGCGAGAATCCGGCTGGAGCCATAGGCGCATGCCGGATTCAAAACGAGCGCATGCGTACTCGTTTTGAACCTTTTGCATAATAATAAATAACACCACCAGCCATTTGCAAGATCACGTGCAAGTAATGCACCAATTACAGACGCGGATATCAGAGAAAAAGAGGAGTAATCGAGAGAGTGAGGAGGACGGCTCGAGAACAATGAGTGACGCTACCTTGTTTCATCTAGGGACCTTACGCCGGCTGCTTCGCTGGCGGCGCGCGCGGGAAGTTCGAACAAATTTTCTGTTTTGCGGGTTGTTTTGCGACTCCCGTGATGGTTTGAAAATAGATTTTAACCTATTTTTTTATCGAATTTAGCGTTAATAATTTGAGGAGAGGTGCTTATAGGTTCAAAGATTCGAAAAATGCGTTTTTCTCAAAATCGATTTTTTGGCCATTTTTTACTTTTCTAAGACCCGCGTCCCCCCTTAAGGGTAACCTAACCTAACCTAACCCAACCTAACCCAACCCAACCCAACCCAACCACACCCAACCCAACCTAAGCTAACCTAACCTAACCTAACCTTACCTAAC